TTTGAACAACCATAAGTACTTTTTCTCCTTGAAAAGGTACAGAAAGGAATTTTTAACATCCTCTTCGGAATCAAGAATGTGGATTTTAAACTCATTCCATTGGTACATCCAGGACCCACTTGGACAATGACTAATTTGAGTAAACAATTTTAAGTTTTCACCATCAATTCTTGCTTATCTGATACAGACGTACAGACAATCCTCCTTAATACAGGGGAAAAAATCAATTTTTCTCCCATTTGGATTTAGAATGTCTTGTGGTCTAGATAATGCCAAGGCATTTACTTGAAATAAACAAATTAAATAAAGCCAGCCTGCAATACTCTGATTCTACCTTCCTTCCCCCAGTGTCTATCTCTGGTTTTCTCTGTCATCCTCTGCATCTCCCACCCCGCCCTGAATTCTGGCAAAGCACCTTAAGAGTGTAATAAGCTTCCTTTCTAAATAATGCTCCCTGCCCTAGATTTTCTTCATCTTTTCCATTTCTGTAGCTCTTCTTTGGTTATTCAAGTATACACATGAATTTGGATTTATTAAGTTCTTTTAATTATAAAAACATTACAAAATTAAAAACATTATAATTCCTAAACATTACCAATATAAAATATACTGCTTTAATTTAAAATGAAAAACTTTATCTTCAAGGTTTGTTCTTCCATAAGTTACAATCTAATACCTAGAGTGACAATCAATCGGCAATTGCTTTTGAAAACTATTCTTAAAATGAATAATTCCTTAAATCTGTTTGAAGGCATTTTAATACCAGATGAGAGGTAATATAGTAACACCCATTCATATTCTCATCTGGATGGTACTTCTTAATATAATAACTATGGGATCTAAGGAAATGAACAACAGAACCTCCATATGGCACTGCAAACAGACAAAAAATTCACTTTTTGGCAGTTGCCTTGCCATGGAGCACTGCAAACAGACAAAAAATTCACTTTTTGGCAGTTGCCTTGCCATGGACTGAATGTTAGTGTTCCCCCAAAATTCAGGTTAAAGCCTAATCCCCAGAGCCTTTGGGAGGTAACCAGGCAGAGGGTGGAGGCCTCACAATGGAATTAGTGCTGTTATAAGAAGCGGCACAAAAGACATGACCCCTCTGTCCACCAAGTGAGTACGCAGCAAGAAGGCAGCCACCTGCAAACCAGGAAAAGGACCCGCACCAAGAACCTGACCATGTTGCTGGCACCCTGACCTTAAACTTTTAGCTACTAGGACTGCAAGGTGTAAATGTTTTGTTGTTTAAGCCACCCAGTTTATGTTATTTTTGTTATAACAGCCTGAACTAAGACATGACTTTTGATAATTAAAAAAAGAAAAAAAAAGTATTCTTAGACATCAGTATGATGAATCCCTAAGAGCCACTAAAATATGCTTTTGTCAGCTGTCCCCGAGGAAAACATATTCTTGCATCAAGAAAAGCCAAGATACTAGAAAAGAAAACAGGTTTCTTAAAGAAACAGAGAAGCATTCCTTGTATATTTGTTGTCTCCACAATAAATAACAAGAATTCCTCTAAGAACAAGGAGCAGAAAGTTTACCTTTCTTCCTTAATCATTGCCAAATACATGACATTTCTCAAGCATCATCTTCACAGAAGACATTCTCTTGCCAGATAATTCTACAAGACATGCCAGAAGAGCGACATCTGCTTTCCACATGTGGGACCACTTCAACTGGCTTTGCAACAGAAACCTCAATCTAAGGTCGAACTGTTGCAACAATGTTGGACTGAGCAGGATGGAAACCATGTTAGGATCTAAAACCACATGGGCTCTAAAAGATTTTAAAAGGACACAGTTTTTTTCTTGGCATGAATTTTTCTGAGTTCCCTCTTTTCCCGTGGTTATTTGGTATTCTGAACCTTGGTTATAGGGCAAGATGACATTATTTACATGAATGCGAAGTTGTTTTCCAGCCAGCCTGAAGCTGCAAACTTACAGACTTGCGTGTACTATCCAGACCCTGGGAAACCAAAGAACACATCAATAAAGCTATGCTGATTCCACCCCTCCAGCAGGACTCAGAGATAACAGCAAGGACAGGAGCAGACACCTGAGGGTCTTGGCAAGGCCTTGCACCTGGCTCCTTGCACAGAGCCCACATGGCTCACATCCCCTTCCCTCCTGCTTTTCATTTCCTGTGTTCCATTCCTTCAGCCCTCTCTTAAAAAACCCCTCAGTAAATCTGAGTCTTTGAGATGGATTTAGTCTGGCCATTCTCTTCAGGTTTACCAGAGACATAAGTTAGCCTAACATCTCTCCTCAGGTCACCGGCATTCCTGAATAAAGCTGACTTCCATTTTCACCAACATTTGACTTTTGAGTGGTTTGATTTTGAAATGGGGCAGGCAGCAGACCTGTGCCTGGTAACAATAATGCCATCTCCAGCACTTGAAGTGGCTGCAATATGAAATGAATTGGGAGAAAAAAAAAAAGCTGAGCTAATTCTAAAATGTGTCCTCAAATAAAATGCTAATTTTCCACAAGCAAAATCCTACTAAAGAGAAACCAGGAATAATTTCAGTCGCTGAGAATCATCCACAAACATTGTGCTTTGCTCTTCTACAGTTGACAAGATCTATGGAGAAGAGGATGACTTCTGCCTCTCATGACAACAAAGAAAGCCATTTCCAACACATCCATGAGAAAAAAGAAAACCATCTCAGTAAATATTTATTGAGTACTGTATTAGTTAGCTAGGCGTGCCATAACAAAATACTACGGTCTGAATGACTTAACAACAGAAATTTATTTTCTCACAGTTCTAGAGGCCAGAAGTCCGAGATCAAGACATCTGCGGGGCTGGTTTCTTCTGAGGCCTCTCTCCTAGGCTCGTAGATGGCCGTCTGGCTCTCTGTGTCTTCACATGGTTCCCTCTGTGTGTGTCTGTCCTAATCTCTTACTAGAAGGAAACTAGTCATACCGGATTAAGGCCCACTCTAGTGGCCTCATTTTAACTTACTTACCTCTTTAAAGACCCTATCTCCTCATACAGTCACATTCTGAGGTCCTGGAGGTTAAGGATCTCAGCATATGAATTTTGGGGTGACACAATTCAGCCCATCACAACCTTGTTTTGTTAGATTCTGTTTACTCGACATCATGCCTAGTTCTCCTAAAAAACTTCATGGATAGAAATGACTTTTTAAGCGAAAGGAACTCAACCAATTTTATTAAAATTTTTTTTGTGGCTCTTATGACAAGCTTTGAAATAAGCGAAGATTTTCCTGGGAATACTACAAAATCCTGGCTGGGAGTCACTGCTTTCTGGACTGTTAGGAAGGAAATACACTCAGTACAGCTGTTAGGGGAGATGTAGTTGCAACTGTTGAGTGCTTATTATCTGCCAAGTTAAATATATCACTCAAGAGAACAACAAATATTCTAGTGTTCTTGTTAAGTGTATTGTCTAAGGTCACACAGCTCTTAAACAATAGCACTGGGATTTGAACCTGTACTGCTTGACTCCTAAGTCCAGATGCTGTCCATACATCAGGCTTTGAAGCATGACCAGAGTTCATAACACACACCTATGTCTCTGTATCTGTTTACTAACCAATGCTCCCATGTGTGCAAACCCTGAGGGCAACCATCCAACACAAACCCTACTAGAAGGTCTGCTGTAATAAGGTTAGAAGAGTGCTGTCCTTTAGAGAAGCCACTTGTGGTTTTGTGGATGGGCTGACATTTAAGCCCTGCTCTCCAGCCACAGGGGTGGGCCTATAATCTAGATCAGGCCAATGATAATACCTTATCTCCATGACTATGGTGACTGTTCTTGGGGGTGGGCGTGTAACACAAGCTGGGCTGACATAGGACCTTCTTGAGGATTTTAAAAACTGAAGGTAGGAGAGAAAAATTCTCTCTTTTCTTCTGGGAGAGGGGGTTGCGGGTAGTCAGAGCTGTTGGGATGTGGATCCAGGGATCCTAGAAGCCATGCACTCCACTATTTGCAGGAGAGAGTGAAGCCAACACACAGAAAAGCGGAGACAAGAGATGGAGGGTCAAAAAAACGAAATATCCCCCGGGCCGGCCACTGCTGAGGCCAAGTGCTGCCTTTCCTGGGTGGTATGAACTGTCCCTTTTGCTTCTGCTAGGTTGGCCGGGTTT